GTAGAAAATTTCCCTCCTCAGTCTTAAACCAATCCTGTTCTTGTGGTGTGTACTGTGGGTCCCATTCAGCTAAGGGACATGGGAACAAGGCAGAAGTCAGGGCAGTTGGGGCTGGTCCCCTCATGAGGGCTGCTTGTTTGACTTCCCTATCAGCTTTCCAGTTTCCCTGAGCATCTCCTTTAGGTGCCCTCAGAAGTGTATAACTGCCACCCATTTAGGGGCCCATACAATGTCTAGCAGTTTGAGGATTTCCTGCCCATACTCGAGTTAATGAGTCCCCTCTTTCTATAAGGCCCCATGGACATGAATGGTTGTTAAAGCATATTTAGAATCAATGTAGATATTTACCCATAGTCCTGCAGCAAGCTGGAGTGCCCACATGATGGCAACAAGTTCAGCCTTTTGTGTATAAGTTCCAACTGGCAGCAGGCAGGCCTCAATGACTGAGTCCCTTTTCAGTATTGAACAGTCAGAAGGAGCAGTTGGAAGTCTGTTAAGGTGGGCTTATGAGTTTGGATGATAGACTGCATTAAATCAATCAGACTGAGGTTTTTCTGTGAAGGAGAGGGTATTATGTTTCCATAAGTTTAGGAGATTTGTGGTGGTAAAGGGCCATTAGATGGATGTTTGCCTTCTTCCTTGTATTTGACCATACAGGTCATAATATATTGGGCCTTGGACCTCCCTCAGGGACACCTGAAGGGCAGTTTGAGTCTAAAGAGAGGAAGGGTCCCTGCTGGGACTAATTGGATATTCCCAGCTGAATGGAGGATGTGGGTGTGAACTGGCAGACTTGAAGTGGGTATGGGACCCATAGAACTCAGGGAGGTCAGGGGAATTGCGGCCCCAGAGGATTTCAGGCCAGATTTTACAGGTGTGACTGTCCCTCGAGCTTCTCCATACTTTGCTGGAGGCAAGGGTGTGGAACTGGATGCCAGTGGCAGAGGTGAATAAAGTGGCATGTAGGGTGGTGGCATTTCCTCGGCCAGTACAGTCTTCTTTGTTTTCTCCCTACCTTGGAAGTTTTGGCACCGTAGCTACCATAATCTTACAGTTCTCTTCCAGAAAGGGCCTAAGCCATTTGGGTCGGGTAAGGACAGCATCCTGCCACCAACCAATATAGGGAAACTGATCTGGGTGCCCAGGTGTCCCTTTAATCATGCTGTAAACTTCATGAACCACAGTTTTGTCTAGTGACCCTTCTGGGGGCCACACTACACCAAAAGTGGGCCAATCTAATTCATAGAGGGCTTTAAGCTTGTTAGGAGTTCACTTGACTACATAATCTCCATTAAATCCTTTTTATAGTTTTTAAGCATACACTCCAAGGGGTACCCTTACTCTGATTTCCACCCATTTCCTCCCATTACCAAACGTCAAGACAGACACAGAGGGGGAGGGGCTTTGGAGAAAAGGTAAGGGTTCCTGTTCTCCGACACACAGGGAAGAACAGTATGTGCCCCTTATTGGTGACCTGGGCATGGTCACCCAGTCAGGCACTGCACCTACACAGGGTCCTCACTCGCTTTGTCCATCTCAGGCCACTCCCCTCACATTGATTTAGGCATCTCTTAGCCATAGTGAATCCATATTAATCCCCAGACTGGAGGCCCTGTTAGGGTTCACTCTAGACCATATGAGTTCGTCCAGACCTGCAGATCAGGACTCTGCACTTACTTTGTAGCCAGGCTAAGTCTCAGACTCACACCCCATCCACCTCTGCCCCGCTACCTGAAACTGACAGTTTCACCTTCAACAGGATTACTTGGGTGTCTCTAGGAGGTGATCAGGCTCCCTGCCCCACTACCTGAAACTGACAGTTTCACCTTCAACAGGACTACTCGGGTGACTCTGGGAGGTGATCAGGCTCCCTTCTGCCTCCTAATGGCAGGCCTATTGTTTGAACCTGGGTTCTTACCAGTTTGACAGGTGGGACTCCAAATTGGTTCCTGAGACTTCTCCAAGTTCCTTTTTGCAACTGAGACTCACTCTCCTGTGTGTCAGGAAAGGCAAGTCCCTCAATAGGATTAACAGGTCTGCTGGTGCCTGGTGGGATGGTTTTCCTGATGATCCGGGAATGCTGAGTCCCAGCAACTAGGTGAAAACACCATCTCTGAATCCCAGACAAGAGCCCCCAGAAATGTTGCTGGATATTCAAGGAGCAAAACAGGACACCAAGGCTTTCTGGAAGCAATATTTATTAGCATGCCAGCAGTGGTTCAGCAGATTCCCATCCAAAGGCTGAACCCTGAGAACAAAGGGGCTTTTTGCCTTTATACCCTTGCAAGCAGGTTATATAAAAAGCAAAGTTTAACTTACATATGGTTGTATGCATCTCTATTGGCTACTTCACCCTCAGTGCTATGTAACCTTCCTTATGTTCAGATTCTTTCAGTTTTATCTCCCTATGTTTCCCCCTCCTCCCTGCCACAAAACCACCTATCTGTACCTTGCTCTCTGCTAGATTTTCTAGTTCCTTAACCAGTTCCTAGCACAGCATTGACTCTCAAAATGTAACTGTTGAAATAATGACCACCTTCACTCTTGCAAATAGCTAATGAGTTAATCCCCATTCTTAAATTCTTTGAGAAATAAAATTAAGTCCATCTCAACTATTGCACTATTCTCAAAATCCTTTCTTTGGATAAGTGAATGAGCCAGTCACTTGTGGTTGACTGGGGAGGAAGCTGTAGTAATGTTGCAGGAAGAACAATGGACCAGTGAGAAGAAACTCAAACCCAGCTCACAGAGAAGCAAAATTGACACATGACCAGTACTGTACAAAGGACCATGAAGGCCCCCCCTCCCAGTCGTTTCAGTTCTGCAGTACTCAGCCATATACATTGGACTTATGATCTTTGGATGACCAGCGCAAGTTACGGTGGAGGGCCCCAGTTGGGCCCATCTGCTGGCCTCTGGGCCTGGGCAATACCTAAAGGAGACAAGACAAGGGCCTGACAATGCACAGATGGTGCAGTTAATTAATATAGTTCCCTCTTGTCCTTTCAAGAGTTTGACCTCCCATATCAGTTTATGTTCGGAGCTTTGCCAGCTTCATCCAGACTCCATAGTCACCCGAGAAGCCATCCCTAAAGTTAGTGAGCATGGTCTGGAGCACTGTCAGGCACTTTGACCCAGAGGAACCCATTTTATATGTGCCTGGCAACTACCAGTGTCATGGGACAGACAAAGGAAAGGAGGGTGCCTCTTAGTGAGAGACCACATAGGTGCTAATCTGGCTGTAATCCCAGGCAATGGGGTCAGGTGTGGCTTGGCCATAGTGGGTTCAGCCTGACAGGGTGAGTTATGATCTGACACTAGTCCGATCCCACCATAGACCATATGCCAATCACCATGAAGTTGCAGATTGACTCCGTAGCCTTTAGGGGACCTTAGAGGTGCCCAGCCATGGAGCCACAAATTTGAGTTTGAAATGCAAGCTAGTCAAGCCACTCAGTCACACACCATTCAGTCAGCATTTAAAACAATCAGTTCCTATTTATTTCCCCTAAAATCCTGGGCTGCTCTAGTCCCAGTTGACCAGAGTCACATCAGTTACAGAGGAAAAGGACTCATCACTCTGGATAATTTTCAGGGTTTGGCTAGTCCCCTGGATCAGTCCACACTGGCTCCTTAAACTGACTATCTGGGGGTGCTTCCTATCTGGTCCAGATGTCCAGCACAGACCTCCATTTCACTCCACCAGTCTGAGGGTCCGGTCCTCAGCTCTGCAGCCTCCTTCTGTCATCTGGAAGGAGACCCCGGAATCACCTTGCGGGTGCGCACTTCCCAGTTCCAGGGACAGACCCTCCCCGCTCCCCCCACCCAGCAGACTGCAGAGCCAGGGAGCAATGACCCATTACCCACAGGGGCTCCATGGTCTGATCTCACTGGGGCCTCCCAGAAAATGTTGCAGGAAAAATAATGGACCAGTGAGAAGAGACTCAAAACCAGATGCTTGGAGGAAAGGAATATTTATTTATGCTAGTGGATCAGCAGCTGGATCTCTGCTAAAGGGCCAGCACTGGCCCTTTAGCTCAGGGCTGTTGGGCTTTTATGCCTCAGAATGCGGAAGCAAGCAAGCGGGAAGGACAAGAGCAGACGGAGCTGTTAGTCTTTTGCTGGGAGGTTACAACGTATCACACTAGCATATCTGTGGCAAAAGACATGCAACGTTTCTCTCCCAATGGTCAGAAACAGGGGCCCGCGGAGTTTCTTTATCAGTAAGGCATTACATGTAAGTCACTCCCTGCAGAGTCAGGTCCTCAGGGTAGCGAGCACGTGCGCGGGGCAGCGCAGCTGGGCGGGCAATGGGAGAGCCATGCACCAGTGCCTGCTAGCGCCTCGGCCCCCCCCCCACACTCCCCCGCGGCCACCGGGGCAGCAGAGCTCGCGTGCGTCGCCCGAGCAGAAGGAGCGCACAGGCTTCCGCGCTGAAAATGGAGCGTGAGCCGCGGCTTCGGAGGAAAGAAAAAGGTGTGGAAAAGAGAGAAGAGCATGAACTGGGCGCTAGGTAAAGGCGGACCCACCAAGGGCTCCGGAGGAAAATGGGCGGGGTGGGGGCCGCCGAATATCAGTGCACTGGGAACGGTGGGCGAGTTTATTCTGAGTTCGCGGGCGGAGGTGCTTGCTATTAGGATGAGGTTGGGAAGATGGAAGGGCGGCAGCTTACTTTCCCCGCGCTGGACACTGCCAGGTCTTGCTCTTCGTACCCAAGGCCACAGCAGCCTGATTTTCTCTGACTGCTCGGCCTCGGTCGCTGTGGGCGCCAAATTCCATTCCCAGTTGGCTCCTCCCTTCCCCAAAGGGGGGTAGAGGCGTGGTCCGTCCCTTCATTGGTTACAGTTCGGAATACGTCCGCGTCAGCCGGAGCCCGACGCGGTGACGCAATACGTCGACGTAAGTGACGCGCAGGCCTGGGCCGCTCCTCCTTCCCTGAGTGAGTGCCGGCCCGGTTGGGGCGGGGGAGAAGAGGGAGGGCGGGGGTTGGGAGAGGCGACCCGGGAGTCGTTGTGGGCCGCGGGCCGGACCGGGTCCCAGGGCGGTGGGAGCCCGGGCTGAGCGGAAGGGCTTGGCGGGCCGTTAGAGGGCTGCAGCCGCTGTCGGGTCCCCTTCCTTGCCGGACTTCTGTGCTCCGGCGCCCGGAGCCTCCGGCACTGTGCCCACCCCGCTCCAGCTCGCGTCTCCCGACTCCAATTAGGTCAGGCTGGGAGTTCCGCGGCCGCGGCTCCGGCCCGCAACGCGCGGCGGCCGCTCGGCTCGCCTTTCTTTCTTCCCTCGCCTTCCTCTCTTACCTCACCCTCCCCCCTCCTTTTTACGTTCCTGGGTTTTGTTTTTTGTTGTTGTTTTATGCTTTAGGGGTTTTGTTTCTCAGCCCGAGCTCATGGGTGTACATTATCATGCTCCTCTTTTGTAGAGCAACCCGACGGCCATGGAGGCTGAAGAAACGATGGAATGCCTTCAGGAGTTCCCTGAACATCATAAAATGATCCTGGACCGATTGAATGAACAGCGAGAACAGGACCGGTTTACCGACATCACCCTGATTGTCGACGGTGGGTTAGGGCAGTGGTCAGAGGAGCGAATTGGTGACTTTAGTTTTCTCCCTTTCACCGCCCGTCTTCCCCCACCCCCATGGACTCCCTACCGAAGTCTGTGGCGGGTGAGCAGTGCGCCTGGAGGGCACTTGTCAGTGTCCGCTCACATGGACCATGCTGCAGACAGCTGGTTGGCCAGTCCAGCCTTTAACGTAGTGTGGTGCTCATCACATTTAAACTTCCTGCAGCATGATGAAGTTTTCTCATTGCACACTTGAGTGCAAGATGAGGGCATTGGAGATTGAAAAAATAACGCAAAATCTTTGGTAAATAAATAGGATGTCTCAAAATGTTTGGTTAATCAGCTTCTTGTTGCTAAGCTGCTTTCAGGAGTCCCTCATAGGAGTCATTTAGGATCCCTTTCTAGTTTTCCAAATAGTCTTGGAGGGAGAATGTGAGAGTCGTTGGCTGCACCCATACCCTTTTTGGAAACCTCTCCTCTCCTGCCCCCCAACACCCCCCCCACCAATAAACAAGTCCCTCAGCCAGTCTTAGTTGTCATTATAATGGAGGCAAACCCACCTTGGGTATCTTTATTACTTAGTAAAAATAGGCTTCAAGGCATGTTATTTTTTATTTTTTTAAATTTGGGACTTGAACTCAGGGCCTATACTTTGAGCCACTCTACCAGCCCTTTTTTGTGAAGGGTTTGTTCAAGATGGGTTTCGTAAACTATTTTTCCCTGCTGGCTTCCAGCCATGTTCCTCCTGATTTCTGCCTCCTGAGTAGTGATGATTACAGAGGCCTGGCTCAATGCTGTTTTTTTAATGTAGGCCTACCATATATTGAGCTTCCAGACAGTGGACATATTGAAGCATTTCCCATATCAGACACATCCAACTTTACTTAGTCTGTGGTTTTTTCCATCTCTTTCCAAATGACCTTTTGGATTTTCATTAGCATTTTCAACTAAAGTAGAATATGCCTGTTGTTACTTAATTGAAGTAACAGAAAGTTCTAGGAGAGATTTCTTACCTAGTGTTGTAAACTGACTTTTATAAAAAAACTGACTGATAAATAGTCTTTGAAGCGAAGAGTGGTTTCATGTCTGGTAAGATTTAAATTTGGGCTAGTAGAGTGGCTCAAGTAGGAGAGCGCCTGCCTGGAAAGTTTAAGGTGGAGTTCAAGCCCCCACCCCCACCCCCCAGTAGTGCAACCAACAGCAAAAAGATGTAAATTTGCCAAGATGGATAATGAGGATATTCTGTTTTAACTAAGTTCAATAACTTATATGGTATTCATTATATTATGAAGGAAGATCTGTTTTATACAATTTTCTCTTATAGTTCCATAACTATAAAGATGCATATGTATGATACATGTGATTTCTTTTTCTCCTTAGGACACCATTTTAAGGCCCACAAGGCTGTTTTGGCGGCTTGCAGTAAATTCTTCTACAAATTCTTTCAGGAGTTTACTCAAGAACCTTTGGTAGAAATAGAAGGTCAGTGCTGTTTGAAATACAATACTTTTTACCAAATGGAATTGGTTCTTTAGGTTTTAAACAGTTAATTTAGCAAGACACCATGGGAAATGGACATAGTTGCTATTAAGTGACTAAAATTGTTCTTTTAACACTTGAGAATTCTTAATTTCAGTAGTGTTTTATGGAATATCTGCCAGGAAAAACTCTTGGATGTTAGATGTTGATGTCTAAAAGGAGTCTTTCCATTACTGAAATCAGTGGTCACCATCTTTTGAAAACATGTAAACTACCATCTTTGTTTTAGTAACCTTACGTTTCAGACTGGTGGGGATGCTGTAAGTTACAGGAGAGGCCTCTGTGCTAACAGAAGTAGTGATACAATAATAGAGATAATAGATAGCATACACAAGGTGAAGTGAGCTGCCATAATATGGAAAAGACTAGGAAAGATGAAATAAGTAGCATTCAGAGGAGAGTCTAGTGACTATAGAATGTTTAGGAGGGAAGGGATTATCAGTTAGGTAGTACCTTAAAACAAGGTGATTTTTGTACTTGTTTTACTTTTTTCTAATAGCTTGCCAAGTGCCAAACATTTTTTATTTGAGGCTCACCGTACTCTTTTGAAAAGTTAAGTAGTAGTATTTCCAATTGTACATCAGGCAACAGGCTATAAGTTTACTTGCCCAAGGTTGCCTTGTAGAAAGAGATTTAGTTTGCGCTCTTGTCATGTTTTTATCTTTTGCTGCTGTCATACTTCCCACCTTGCCCCATCAAAATCCCAAACAGTAGGAAATAGATCCATTTGCGCATATAAGTACGGAATCTTTCAGGGTTCTTAGGGTTTGGCTTTGTATCTCTTTCACTGCTAACATATTCTTAGTTATGAGTGGGTTGCCTAGAAACACTATTCCCATGGAAAAATTTGATGCCTAGTGGGAGTAAAGAAAATAAAGAGTTAAGAATATCCTTTTATTTTGTTATATTGCAGTTGATAAATTTGCATCTAGATTATCTTTTGGTTATATGTGATGGACAGAGCATAGGCATAATGAAAATCCACAGAGCTTAAATAAAGAGAGAATCTAGCTACCTAGATGGTATTGGTTTTACTACAAGGCAAGTCCATAAGTTCATTCACCTGAAACTTGCTAAGTATTAACTCCAGGCATGCAGATTACCTCAATTGCATATTTGTCTCCTCATCTGAAAAGTAGGTTCATAGACTTGTGATGATTATTTGGAATAACATATGCAAGATGCCTCACATTGTGTTTGGCACATTGCCAAAGCTTAATTAATGGAAGCTATTTATCATATTGAATATTATTATTGAATTCTTATTGAATAAAAATTAAATATTATGCAGTTGCTAGAACCAAGAGCTGAAGAATTGATAGAATAAGACATCCCTGAAAGGATTTGAAAATGTAATAGAACAAGTGAAGGAGTGCAAAAAGTGGTACTGTGGATGCTATCATAGAAGAGGGAGATAGGAATGATCTCAAAGAAAAGTTGACTTCTAAGAAGAATCTTCCAAAGTTTCTTAAAATAAGTGGCCCACATTGGAATATTTATTGTTGGGAGAAAGAACAGTACTGGAAAAGTGGATCTTCTTTTTCTGAAAACTAATCACATTGGGATTTTACCTCTCAGTGCCTCTAACCTGCTATATCCATTATAGTATAGTACATCTAAGCCTTTGTTATTTTCTTTATTTTTTGGCAGTACTGAGGTTTGAACTAGGGACCTCACACTTGGTAGGCAGGCATTCTACCACTTGAGCCATTTCACCAGCCCAAGCCTTTGGTATTTAAATAGTAGACAGATAAAATAAAATGAAAAATATGCTTTGCTTTTGTTACTTGGCCAGATTCAGGTTTAAAGAATAAATTTGGTTCAGTTATCCCTTAACTCTGGGATTGCAGTATTGTCTAGCTGGGTCACCTGACTATAGAGAAAGCCCTAGCCACATAACTAGAAAACATGAATTTTAGTCTTAGATTTACTGTTTGTCTTAGCTTTACTGCTTTGTTACCTTGAAGTCTTGGATTTTTTTTTTCTCCAGTTTGTAAAATATGTCAAATAATTTTGGATTATGTGATGGATATTTTGAATGTTATAGGAGTGGGTGCTGTCCTATGGAGAATACTTTTGTTTTTGTTTGCAGAACAAGCAGGTAGTCAGCCTGGTTGGGTTTGGACACCCTTTGGGCTGTGGACCCAGCACCAGTTTTGTTTCAAAACCTTCATAGACCTGGTGTGGTTGTGCATGTCTAGCTCTCAGGAGGCTGGGGCAGGAAGATCAGGAGTTAAAGGCCAGCCCAGGCTGCATAGCAAGATCCTGACTCAAAAACAAAACAGAAACTTCGTGGTGCTGTCCAGGTCCCAATCTCAGAACTAGGACTTGTCCTGAGTCAAAGCCGAGAGAAGAAAAATGACCAGGTATCCTCCCCTCCCCACTCCTTTCACTCCCTTTCCTGGTTCTCTAGCCAAGAAGAATTTCTCTTGGAGCTTTTTTTCTGTTGCTCATCTATGGGATTTGGGCTCTCCTTAAGTGCTCGAATATTTAGGAGGAAAAATAAAACCAGAAAATGTACTGCTCTTTGAGTTGTGAGTTCTCTCTCCAGTCTGCTTGCTTCTATTTTCAGAGTTCTTGTATATTTGCTTTATATAGTCTCTTCAGGATTTTTAGTTGTAATCAATAGACAAGATAGAATGGAATGTGCTTGTGCTTTCTCTCTCTTAGCTAGAACTGGCACACCCATCTGTAAAATATGAGTAATGATTTGTAGCAGTGCACAGTAGCTACACATTAAAAACACTAGGGGGACTGTTTACAAATAGCAATGCTCAGGCTATATCTCCAGATCAATTACATACATCTTTCAAGGGTAGAATCCAGGCATCTATATTTAAAAGTTCTCTGTCTCCTTGTTATTCAAGGTGTTTTCTGAGGAGTACTAATTTGTGAGGAATCACCTGGGAGCTTTTGTTAGAAATGTGAACTCAGATTCCACACCAGGCCTACATCACAAGATACTCAAATGATTCCTGTGTATAGTAAAATTTGAGCCAGCACTGTCCTAGGACAATTCCAGTGTTTCACCAGTGTTGAGGACCACTGCCTTATAGGATTTTGTAAAAGCAAATGGCATATATATTTAAAAAATTATAACATGCTCTGTAAATATAGCATGCTCTATGAAATGCAAGGTTAGCTAGCTTGCTGTTTCCTAGTGAATATAAGTTACCTTTGGTTAGAACTAAAGAATCACCTTTGGCTTCAAATCAAAATTGTCCTTCAAGCCAGTTGCATCCCAGCTCAGCTTTGTGACTTGGATTCATACCACATATAATCTTCAGTAGACATTCCCGGGCTCAGAAACAGTAATTTTCTAAATTTATTCTTTTTCTGCTTCTCCCGAAGCCACAGATTCATAATCATCTGGTTTCTCTACCGGTAATTCTGCCGTCATGTCCAGAGATTTTTAACCCCTGCTGGCAAGGACAAAACCTTCAAATACACAATTTAGACATTGCTTTATTTTCCACCAGTTGGGAGAATTTCCTAAGAATGTCCCTTTTTGCTTTTTTCTAAGCATTGTTGTGAGGGAGAAGACTCAGGTTAAGGTATTCATGTTAACATTTTCCTTAGATACTCTGTTAGAAAAATTGTGTTTTCCTGCACACTTCCCTTGTGAAATGAGTGAGGGATTGATAAGAAAATCAATAATACTTTGATCAAATTTAGAATCAAAATTACTTAGTAATTTGTAAGTTACTAAGCTAGTCCTGGTGTAGTATAAAATATCTTCGCAACTATATATCTACCACCACATTGCTTACCTTTGGCAGGTATTATCAGTTTGGTTCAATTTGCTAATTATTCAAGTCAGAGTCAGTGTTGGGCTGGTCACATAAGAAACACCTAAAGTCCTTATTTAAAAAAAAAAAATTCTCATTCCAGGTTTGATTTCAAAGATTAGGAACCAGTACTTTAAATCTGTAGGTGATTCTGATCAGTCAAGATTGGGGACAGGGCAGGCGGAGTGGCAAGCAAGTGTGAGGCCTTAAGTTCAAACCCCGGTACCACCAAAAAAAAGAAAGAAAAGAAAAAAAGATTGGAAACAAAATTCACAATTCTTTATTCTATTTCTTAGAGACCAAGTGTATTTCTCAGAATTACAGATTTTAGAGGTATAGCTCAAGAGGTAGAGCACAAGCTTTGCAAGTGTGAAGTCGTGAGCTCAAACCCCAGTCTCACTAAAAAAAAAGAAAAAAGACATATCAAAAGTTTTCTAAACATAGTGCAATTTATGTATATTTTATAATATTCCCGGGGGAATCTAGGGTGAGATCCTATAACGAAATACTAGTATTTCTGAAGCAAAGCACTTTACTACTCTAAAGTGGAGTAAAGACTATACATAGCATTATGTCAATTCTGACCAAATTTTACAGCCAAATTTGTAGGGAAATTTCTGGTTTTAGAGATTTGGGAAAGTAGAGGCAATGCTGATAGTGACTGTTTAACAGATAATGAGACAGAATCAAAAAGATTTGTCAATTGTTTCAGTATGGTAGTAAAGGAGAGGAAGAAATAAAGTATATATTTTATGAAGCATGGAATACAAGAATAAGAGCAGACTCTATATAATAAGCTCTGCTGTTTACTGTTCAGTGTCCATGTAATTGCCAAGTTGAAATGATCAGCAAGGATCTGTAGCTATGGGAGATAGGACTGGAGATACTGCTTATGCAGGAGTGAGCATATGGATCTAACCTTCTCTTACTGTAAAATACCTAGCAAGTAACTCTTCAGGTATAAAATGTATTGAGGCTATCTGAAATTCATTAAATGTGAATGTAAGGTAATACATCTTTCACTAAGTCTATTCAAATAAGTAGATTAAGAAATGTTAGTGATAAAGGATAAAAATGTGGCTGATCACTGGAAGCAGTAAACAGTCTTTCCAGTGTCTTTAAAAGAAATTTCCCTGTCTTTGATAACTTTCTTTT